TGTTGGGATTATAGACATGAGTTGCCATACCCATGAATTTACATCTTTAAACTTTTTATGTATTTATTTTTATTTTATGTGTATGTGTGTTCTGCCTGTATGCTTATAAGTGCACCCATGTGTGCAATGACCACAGAAGTCAGGAGAGAGCATCAGATCTCCTGGAACTAGAGTTATAGTTGGTTGCTAGCTGCCATGTAGGTTCTGGGAACAGAACCCCAGGTCTTCTGTAAGAGCAGCCAGTGTTCTTAACCACTGAGCCATCTCTCCAGTCCCTTAAAAAATTTTAAATTACATCTATTTATGTGAGTATGTGTGTGGGAATGCATATGCCACGGGGGTAAATGTGGCACTCAAAGGATGACTTTTGGGAGGACTGCAAGTCTGATGCCAACTTGGGCAACATAGTGAGATCCTGAAGATCTTGTCTTAAACAAAACTCAAAATAAAAAACAAAACAAGCCAGGCATGGGGGTACATGCCTTTAATCCCAGCACTCAGGACACAGAGGTAGGTGGATCTCTGTGAATTTGAGGCCAGTGTGGTCTACATAGCCAGTTCTAGGCCAGCCAGGGCTACAAAGGGAGGCCCTTTAACAACAACAACATAAAACCAAACCAAGCCAAGCCAAGCCAAGCCAAACAGTGTCTAAAGTGCAGCTCAGTGGTAGAGTGCAGGTTTTGCCTATATTTTGTCAGTATCAAAAAACAGGTAGGGACTGCCTACTTCTCACATTAAGTTACTTGGGTACAAACTCTCATGTTGAGACTTTATCATTTGTACAAATGTTTACCAAATCATTATCTCCAATTTAGATCTTTTTAACCCTTTCCCTTCTCCTCAAACTTGTTCCCCAGCCTTGAGCCCCATTATCTACCAGCACAATGAAGTCATCACTCAATTGATGCTTCAGCCTAGGGGTGTTTAAGCCTCAATCTGTTCCCGCCCAACATACACTGAACTGAAGTTTCTTTCTACTTCCTTCTTCCCTCTTTATCACCACTGTTCTGACTAGGCATGCCCCACTTTCCCTAGCTTCCACCTGGGCATTTTTGTGCTCACTCATCTGAGCACATGTTTTATGATAGCTCATTTTCAGAGGTAGCTAGTTCTCTTCCTCCCTATTTATCCATCATTGTGTGTATGATGTTTGTGTGTGTGGAGACTGCAGGTGTGGGAATACCACAGCACATATGTGGAAGTCAGAGGACAACTTTTGGGAGTTGGTTCCCCTACCACAGGATCCCGGAATTGAGCTCAGATCACCAAGCTTGTGTGGCAACCACTTTTACCCACTCAGTCATCTTACCAGCCCTAGTTCCATTTCCAATCAAGTGTTCCCCACCTATTAGGTCCCACGAGTACTTCTACAGTGTGGGTGGTCCTGCAGATAGTCTATAAATTATCCAAGTCATTGCCACACACTCATTCTTATATGTCTTCTGGGATGAACCAATGTAGTGCAATGACCCACAATCCCAGATATGCTGATGGGAAATGCTGTCCTTCAGATGTGTGCCAACTGGGCAAGGTTATGAATTAATGCTTTGATTGAACCACAATATCTAAAAAATTAACTGATTCACTGAGCTGGAAGCTTTCCCCCATTTCTTTGACTCACCCTTGGCACTTTCAGGGTCAAAATAAAAAAAAACACCCCATAAAGCAGGTATTTGTCGAGGGCATACATGTTCAATTTTAGGTACCAGAGTCCTATCTGAGGCTCCCTATTTAGGAAGCTATGGGAGCTAAACAATCCCAGGTGTTGAAACCTACCTGAAACGGTAAGTTCCTTAACCAACCTGGCCCAAGCTGTGCACAGTCTATGGAGGTTTCCCCTTTTACACTGACGTCTACTACATAACTCTAATCCCCTATCTGGATACTCTATCTCTGGTAAATAGCTAAAGGTTCATGTTAGCTTTGAAAAACCAGTCATTTCATACTGATATTCTCATTAAGCCGACCATCATCCTATAGTATCTTTCAACAAGGCTAAATTGCTATACCCAAATTCTGCCATTCTATAGTTTGTATAACTGGGCTTTTTAATGCAAATCGTGCCCTTCACCCTTGTTAAATTTCACTAAGTTAAATCTTATCCATAATATCATTTTCTAAATTCTTTTACTTCTAATACCCACAAAAGAGAATCTAAATTGCCAAGTATTTTTCTCTTCTTTTTGCCTGAATGGTAGGCCTAGCTCGAGCCTACATCCTCAGAGAGCCTCCATCTGAAACCCCGTCCTACTCTCCTCTCCTGAATTCTCACTACATTGCCTTTCAATGACGGAAGAAGGAAGAACATATAACCAATCTACTTTTTCTCTGAAATACTGAAAAATCTTACTTTAATCCTCCGTACAACCCAAGACTTGGCACCAACACAGTCTTTTTTCTTATAGAGTCTGCTGGGGAAAGAGGAGTAGATTTGGAGTTAAGGGGAGATTGCTTAAGAAAGATACCATCTTTGGGGAGAGAGGAACAAGACCCAGAAATGTCAACCGAGGGAAAAGAATAGGATAGAAATTATACAACAAAGATGAAGAGGTCACAGTAAAACTGGGCATGGGAAAAAAAAGGAAAAAAAAAAACGTAGCACGGTTAGGGGCATTCCTCAACTAAGAATTTAACACAACTCAGATCTTTTTTTTTTTTTGAGACAGGGTCTCCCAGTAACCCCAGCTGGTCTGGAGCTCACTATGTAGACCAGACCAGGCTGGCCTTGAACTCACAGAGATTTGCCTGCCTCTGCCTCCTGAGTGCTGGGATTGAAGGTGTGCACCACCACGCCCGGCTAGATCTTTCTATTTTTAAAAAATATTTTATTTATTATTTTTATTTTATGTGTATGAGTGTATTGCCTGCACCCATGTCATGCAATACCCATGGATGTCAGAAGAGGGCATTAGATCTCTTGGACCTGGAGTTGCAGATGGCTGCTAGATGCCATGTGGGATGCTGGGAATCAAACCCGAGTCCTCTGCAAGAGCAACAAATACTCTTAAACACTGAGTCATCTCTCCAGCCCAAGAGCTTTCTTTTCTTTTCTTTTCTTTTTTTTTTTTTTTTTTTTGGTCTTTTTGAGACAGGGTCTCTGTAGCCCCAGCTGACCTGAACTCACTATATAGACCAGGCTGGCCTTGAACTCACAGTGATCTGCCTGCCTCTGCCTCCCGAATGCTGAGACTAAAGGTGTGCATCTCCTGTTTTCTCCCCATTTCTAACAATTAAATCCCTTGGGGGGGGGGGCTGAAACAGGCCCTCAGCTACTTTTAGAATTATTTGACTTTATTTTCTGATTGTGGAAGTAGGGAGAATATGGAGACTGGGAAGTGTATTGGCAAGAAAAAGTCCTAAGAAGAAAGTATTGAGTACTGACTTTTTTTTTTAAAGTCTTTGACAGAAGAAAGAGGAATCTACAGGAGAACAGATCTGGTATTATCATTATTATTATTTTGAAAAATGCCTAATGAACTTTCGTTTTCCATTAGAAATGCTACTGATCATACAGAATAAAACCAGAACTTGGCTTCTGTAGCCAGGCTTAGGAACCCAACCACTTCATTCTAACATCCACAGAGCCTGGCTGTCCAGGAAAACACTAATTTTCTCATTTGATATCTCCCCCAAAGTCCTATAAATAGGCCTGGCATGGTGGCACATGTCTGCAATCCTCCATTCTTATATAGATAGTATATTTCTAAAAGAAAGACTACTTGTGGGTTGGGGACTGGTGAAATGTCCAAGGGGGAGAACATTAGTCTCCTAACCAATTAAGATAATTAGAACAAGTTTCTTTCAGTTTACTTTCTACATCACTACAAAGTCCCAGGCTACATTCTTCTTGAAATGCCTTTGATTAGAAATCTAGTAAATTGATGTTGAATTATCTGAGAATTTATTTTTTCATAATTACACTTCCTAAGAAAGCTATCTTCAGAAAGATTTCCTAAGACAGCTAAAGGACTTTTTTATTAGTCTTCCAATACTGAGTTGGACATGTTTTGGCCTGGTAGTCACCAAACCAAACAAACCACCTAATCAATCACTAGGGGGACTCTCATTAGGTCAAAGTCTTCATTACTCTAAACATCCCCTCCACCCACCTCCTACCCCTGGTCTGGTTCAGTCACATTTGACATTTTTTTTTTTTTTTTAAACCCAGGGTAGTTCTCACATACTTGGGGCCTTGTATACAACTCACTTATGTCTTCGAGGGCTCCAGCCTGGGTCTGTGAAAGTCTGGCAGCAGCCTGGGCATATGCATTTTGACAACTTTATGCAAATGATTCTAATGCATACCCAATGGAGAACCACATGCTTGAGTATTCAACAAGACACCATCGCAAGGAATTAAGTCTTCCATTCTTAAGGGGTACTAACCAAAAATGACTGTTACCAGAGAAAACTACATAATCAGAAGCAGCAAAGCAGAAAGCCACTGAAAAGGACAGACACAAGGGTCTGAGAATGACCCAAGGGTCACTAGTTTCTGTTTCCAACACATCATTTTCCTCAAGTAAAGTCAACCTAACTCAAAATTGATTTTTTCTTTTCTTTTCTTTCCCCTTAACAAAGCATGATCTAGTCTTTAGCTCAGAGGACTTGTGAACACTCTAGATGTGACATTTTCAGACTCCATGCTTTTCACGAACCAAGGTAACTAACTACTCTCTGCAGTTCCAATCTAGTTAGGAGCTGGAATTTTGTTATTGTTCTACTAAAAGTTTTCAAAGAGTTCAATTCAAAATCATGATTCACATACTTTTAAAATAAAGTATTTACTCGTTTGCTTCTTCCTAAAAAAATGTAAAAAATGTTTGCTTCTTCCTTAACCTAGAAACACTACTTTAAGTGCTTTAAATTTGTTGTTATTCTTGTTCAGTGGCTACAAACAACCCACCTTAATTACTTTACATGCACTCTCTTCTGAGTGTGTTGCAGGCTAAGTCAGCAGCACTGTGAAATCTAAATATAAAAAGTGGATAAAATCTTACCTTTGGTTTTTTGTTCTGTGACCTACAAGATAAATAACAGACATAAGTAAATGAAATTTGCCTTTTAATTCAGCACTGCAATATAAGACAAATTTAATTCTGATAACGCAGATAATTCAAGTTATTAGGATATATACACAATGCATAGGCTTAGTTAAAAATCAGAAAAGGCTGGGAGTCCATTGTGAATCTTTCTCAAGACTATGTCCATATGTCCAGCTATACCTCACATGACTAGCATTAGGAAGAAATCAAAAGATTGTTTTTCTTTTTTAAAAAAATATAGCTGGGCGTGGTGGCGCGCGCCTGTAGTCCCAGCACTTGGGAGGCAGAGGCAGGCGGATCTCTGTGAGTTCAAGGCCAGCCTGGTGTACATAGTGAGTTCCAGGACAGCTGGGGCTACAGGGAGACCCTGTTTCAAAAAGACAATAAATTAAAAATATTTATTATTTTATTTTATGTGTATGAGGGCACTGCCTGCATGTATGTTACTGCATCCATGTTAGGCACTGCCATGGAGGTCAGAAGAAGGCACTGGAGTCCCCTGGAACTGGAGTTAAGGACAGTTCGTAGCTGCCATGTGGGTGCTTAGAATCAAACCTGGATCCTCTGCAAGAGCAGTCAGTGCTCTTAACCACTGAGCCATCTCTCTGGCCTCAAGATTGTTATTCTTTTTAAAAAGCATTCTTCTCATTAAATGATCCTCTCCCATCCTGGAAATGCTGTTTGCTATTTTTATTTCTATAACCATAGAAAAATCAAGCAGATGTGGCCCAGAAACTAGCTATAAATTTAAAAAGATTCTCCCTATGAGTACAGACTCAAATACCTTTGAACTCAAATCTAAAAAGCAAAACACCAGGGACGCATCCTGAAATCAGAAATCACAGTTGCAAAAGAATATGTAAAACCAAGCCTTACCACATCTGCCTGTATGATCTCTGTTCTCCATTTATCTGTTGAAGAGAATATTATCTCTCCCAAAAGGGTTTTGATAAGGATTAAATCAAACAGGCATGCCAATATTCAATTAGCATTTGATTTTCAAAGTTTATAGCACAAAGTATAGCAGGAAGACTGAATTGTGCAAAATCTGAACTAATTTTAAGAGCGCTTTGTTAAAAGTAATAACTAAATAATAACTAAGACTCCATAAAAGTAGTTAACCTAAAACAACAGAGGGCTGAATATGACAATGGGCTTTTGTAGAGTTTGGAAATGAGTAGCAACCACATGGGAACTGCTTCCGGTATTGCTAAGGAGAAAAGGAAAGCGCCTCATTATACAGTCCCTGTGATATAAAAACAAAGCCACAAAAGATCCTGCATAAGAAAAACATCCAAGAGCAACTCAGCCAGAATTCCAGCCATGGTTATTTTACATTACTAAGATACTGAAGGATTCTGACATACTTTTCCAGTCTTTTAAATCTTCTAAAGCATTTTTACATTGATCTGACTTTGTAAGAAGAGTTATTAAAAATGAATGCACCAGGCATGGTGGTTCTTGTCTTTAATCCCAGCACTTAAGTCTATATAGTGAGTTCCAAGCCAGCCAGGGTTACATAGTAAGACGATGCCTCAAACCCAAACCCAAACCCAACAAACAAACAAGAGAAAGAATACTATGCCCCACCAAGGTTCAGGGACTATGGTGGAAGAGAAGGCTCAAAGACTGTAAGAAACAAAGGTTGAGGAGGCCTGGATCGAGAAAGAGTGACATGACAGGACCACTGAACTCATGAACTCACAAGGGTTGTGGCTGCCTGCACAAGATCAAACCAGTCAACAGCCCAGCACAGAGGGGCAGAGGCTCATGAGTCCCCACCCCTAGCCAAGGAGCTTTGGACAACTGATGGCTTCTGGGGGAGGAAGAGTCAGTTTTCTTTAAGGGTGTGGCCCCTGGTGTTGGACCATGCTCCCAGGAGTAAACAGGTAGCACAAACTGGAATCAGTGGGCTATAAAAAAATAAAGAAGACATGAAGTTGGAAGGGGGTGAGGACTGGTCTGGAAGGAGTTAAGGGTAAAAAGGATCAAACTACATTGTATGCATGTATTAAATTCACAAAAAAAACATTAAAAATAGAAGAAAAATTCATAAAGTACATTTTTATTTAAGAACTGTCTACATGCTTTCAATATATTATTCAAAATATAATTAAATGAATGGATAATTAATAAAAAATTAATGCTATGATCTTCTTACAGAGATGCTTACAGCTGGTACTCACACAAGATTACTGCTACTTATGAAAACATGGTCATCTTTGGAAGATATGTCCTATAGTTAGCTCTCCAGTCCACCTCAAAATGGATCCCCTAGCACACTCTGGCCAACTCTGAATCTGACCTAAACAATCTATTCTTAGGACTTCCTAGAGAGCTTCTTACATTTTTGCATTAAAGGACAGGCTAATTGTACTGTACTGAATTTGTGGAACAGTGTCTTAAAATGAACCCGTTTGTCAGTACTAATTGCTAGCTACAGAGCTCAATTCTACTGGAAACCCTTGTAAATTTTTCTATAACCCCCAATTATTCAAGAATGAATGGATTTGATCCACATACCAATTCCTGATGGCAATTTTGGTTTTATTCCATTGTAGCTATTTCTTAGAATGCCAACTGAAGATCAGTTGTAGGGAAGTCAATGCATTGCCCAGTTATAAGCAACAAATCCAAATAATGTCAAATATATTTTATAATGTGGGTGCTCTTAAAAGAGCCAATCCTCAGTTGGTGAAAAGCTGGAGAGTCAGAGCTCATATACTGCCAACATTACACAACACTCCTTTCGCAGCACCAGCTTAATGAATGGAGTCCTTCTTTACACCTCTCTCATGAATGGAAATTTAATATGGTTTACTCAGGGATGCCTCTGGAAGAAGCAAACTGCCACTGAGCACAGTGGAAAAGAGTTCATGTTTAATTTTTGTGTGGAAGAAATTTAATTTCAGCTTTAAATAAAAGCCAACGTTCAAATAAAAGTCCATTACCACCATTCTTCTCCCTCTAGTGCTGAGGAATGAAACCAGTCAGAGCGATCTATCGCTGAGTCACGCACACAACCCTCCTTCATTCATTCTTGATCATTCACTTACTGACAAAAATTTTGAGTGACTACTGGGTACCAGACACAGTTCCTGACAACACAAGTATGACTATGACTTCAAGAAACTTATACTCAATCTAAAGAGGAGGACAGATGCAAAGGGAGTTATAAAGCAATGAGGAAGCAGCAGGAAAGATGCAGAAGCTGAAGAGGCACCACAATGCTTGCTGAGGGGACGGCAACCACATAATAGAACTTCGGGCATGTTCTCTACACTTCTTTCCACCATAGCACACTGTATTCCTCCTAGTTGTCTTTATAGTGCTGGAAACCATTAAGATAATCACATGGGAAGCTCGGTGCCCTTTCCTTAAAATTGCCAAATTGGAATTTAATTCTAAAATTATACAATGGCTCAGTATAATACAATGCTGTAATGACAAAGGGCTAGTCTGTGTCAGCATAGATTGTTAGCTAACCTAGAATGTTTTTTAACAGAAAAATTATTAATTTTTTTTGTAGCCCAGGCTGGCCTTGAATTCCTGATACCCTTGCCTTCATGTGAGAGTTGGGATAATAGGCAGGCATCACCACCCTGGCAAAGATGACTGAAATTTTATAGGCCATAATAAACTACTTAAACATTTTAAAGTTATTGCTTTGTCATTTTCTTCCTTTTGGGTTCGGGGAGGAGACAGGGTCTCACTATGTAGCTCTAGCTGGCCTCGAACGCATAGAGATCCATCTGCCTCTGCCTCCTGGTGTTAATTCATTTTCAGTGTAGATCCATGTTCTCGAGGAGGGCTGACTATCCAGCTGCATAAAGGACATACTTTGTATAAATAATCCTAATTCACTTTCCAGTGTATCCACACCTTCCTTATTTCAAATACTTGCCCTAATAAGCCAACGTGGTGACATACACCTTTAATTCTAGCACTTGGGAGGCAGAGACAGGTGGATTTCTGTGAGACTGAGACCAGCCTGGTCTACACTGTGAGTTCCAGGCCAACCGGAGCTACAGGGAGACCTTGTCTCAAAAGAAAACAAAATATTTTCCTATTAGTAGAATCCACAATCAAAGTTTGCAGATGCATATTTGATTTATCAGCACTGGACATTAATATGTTTAGTGTAATGAAGCTATCTATGTTAAAAAAAGTGATGGAAGAAAAACTGTCTGAAACAATTATTCTGTTACATCAGGTTAGCTGCTTCTGCTCAAGACCCTTGGTGTCCAGTTTATCAACTAACTGTCAATTCCCACAGACTGCAAAATCTGACTTTCTTTTAGTCATTTAGTAGATGAAATGTTTGAGTGCCTGAAGGGAAAAAAAAATGAGTTCCCTCATTACTCCACTTGAGGATTCAATGTTTGATGTTAGCAAGGCATGGAACAATCGAACTAATATCTCAACACTAGTGTATCTGCACATCACCACCTCACTGACAAAGGGAAATGGTTGTATAGCCAAGATGACATACAAAGCCTTGTGTATTATTTGGCCTTAAACTTTTTGAGACAGAGTCTTATGTAGCCCAGCTGGCACAGAACTCATGAAGCTGAGGAAGACCTTGAATTTCTGATCCTCTTGTCTCTACCCCCTAAATGGTAGTTACAGGTGTTCTTTAACTCATAGCTTTATTCTAGAAGTGTAGACAATGCTGATAGACTCAGATAAGCAGCAACACGTTTGAAGCAGGTTTCCTGGCAGCATGAAAATATGAGGGACACACCAGTTATCAACACAACAGAAACACCACAACAGACAGACAAAATCTTAACTCACACAGCAATCTGTTACAGCTTTAAACAATAATTGACTTCTTTGCAATTAAGTTATAATGAACAAATTATATTCATATGTTTAACCCAATAGGGTTATTTGCAACCCAATTCAGAAAACATTTCCAAGATTTTTCATGTGCTGGTCTTCATAAACAATCTATTTAACAATCTATTTATTCAAACAACGAAATCATGGGGAATGCAAATCCAGTGAAGCTGGAAAAATTTGTGATGCCTCTTCTACCCCGTGTTAGGTCTGACTGCCTATGCTGTTCTACATGAACATTTCTCTCAGAACCTGTAACAGTTTATACCTCCATAATCTTAGCTTCAAAAGTAGTATCATGGCAGGCATGCCCAAGCTGCCTCACAATGAGGTTCTGCTTCCCAAATGCACCAGGTAACTGTTAACAAGACCTAGCCATCAAATCTTGTCTCCCAAAACGACACTATGGCAACTCTGCTGAGATATAGTCCAAATTATACATTACCAAAGGAATGGTGAGGTAGGGAAAAGAAGTCAGGCTAGGCAGGGACCAGGTGTGTGTGCTCCCTGGGCTGTGGAGATGCCCTAAAGCAAAGGGCTGTATGTGGGAGCATTCTAACTACTCTCCACTTCCAACAGCTCCATCACACTGTCATTTAGGACCCCTCTCTCTCTTTTTCTTTAAGCGAGTTCCTCAAAGTTACTATGCAGAACAATTAGATCCCATTTGTTTGCTAGTTTTTGAGACAGGGTCATGCTATGCTGTCAAGGTTGGCTGGAACTTGCTATATATATATATATATATATATATATATATACATATATATAATATATAGCTCAGGAGTCCCTCAAACTGACCATCCTCCTGTATCAGTCTAAGTGCTGGGATTGCAGGCATGTGTCGTCATGCCTGGCCCACTAGATTTCTAAAAAAAATTTTATTTACTTATTTATTTTTTGGTCTTTTTGACACAGGGTCTCCCTCTAGCCCCAGCTAGCCTAGAACTCGCTATGCATAACAGCCTGGCCTCGATCTCAGAGAGCCACCTACCTCTGCTTCCTGAGTGTTGGGATTAAAGGTGTGACCATCAAGGCTGGCTGATTTATTTTATGTGTATAAGATGAGAGCTTTATCTGCATGTATGTAAGTACAACTGTGTTTTGCAATGCCTAAGGCGGCCAGAAGAGGGAATGAGATCCTTTGGAACTGGAGTTACAGCAAGAATTTGTTAGCTGTGATGTGGGTGCTGGGAATTGAATCCAGGCTCTCTGCAAGAGCAAGTACTCTTAATCACTGAGCCATTTCTCCATCCTCCAGTAGATTTTTTTTGAGGGTAGTTTTTAGATCGGATTTTCAAAAAGCAAATTTGGCTAAACAACAGTGCCAATGGGCAGGCCAAAAGAACACCAGGGACATTCCAGCAAGTTCTGAAAAGTTAGTCTATAAACTTGATGAAGAAAATGGACACTAAGATTAAGATAAGACAATGTGACATGAATTGAGACTGATAACTCTCTGCCTTTCTCGGTATTGTTTATCAGTGGTTTTGAAAGATCAGCTGTAGTGTTAACATACTCTATTATGGTAACAAGAACAGACCTGACCACTTTCAAATTTTTAAACTTTCAGATAAACTAATGTCTCAGGCAGCATCACGTCAGGTAGCTAAGCTAAGACAGGCTCTTATTCTGACTGCCTGGTAGATACAAAGACAGATTTAAGTGCTTAAACTCACCTTCTGAGTGGCTTCTTTTTTCTTTTTATCCTCTTTCTTCCTTTTCTTGTCTTCCATTAACTGTTCTTCCCTTTCTTGCTCCTTCTCTCTGTAAAAGGTGTAACAAACCAGGTTACCCATGTTCACAATAAATTTCATAGCAAAGCTCATCTCTGTGGCTGTACACAACATAGTACCAATATTTTCTTTAAATCAAAAGGATACATAAGACTTCCCACATTTAGGTATTCCCACATCTTGGTTTGCCACCCCGTTCACAAAACATTACATTAGGCTTGGTTTCAAAGAAGTCTCCTCCAGCACTTTTGTCTGCATAGCAAGCACTTTACTGACCTGAGCTATCTCCCCAACCACATAAAATATTCACCTCTGGTGCTGGGTCAGTGTTCTGGAGGGAGGTTCACAGAATAGACTCAAGCAATTTTTATAGTATCTGCATACACACACACACACACTCTCTCTCTCTCTCTCTCTCTCTCTCTCTCTCTTTCTCTCTCATTCAGAGGATTAATGTACCTTTACTCTGGATTGATTTGATTTGAATATGGCAATATCTAGTTGGCTTTTAGCAATATTCATAACAAACATGCAGACTATATTAACTGAGTTATGACATATGTTTACAGTAAAGCTTAGGTTTTTGTGCATGACCTCTTCAGGATAATGAACATATAAGTTTCTGTTCTGTATTCTATAGTTTTCTTATATACTTATTAATACCATATTCTATACATATTTGCTACCAGTAGTTTTATATGCATATACACTAAAGGTAGATGTTGGTCTCTTTCTTCATTATGGTCCACCTTATTTATTGAGACTTCTAGACTGGCTGGCTGGCTGGTAAGTCCCAGGGACCCATATGTTTTTAACAAGGGTCCTGGGGATCCGCTGTCTGGGGCCGGTCCTTATGTACAGCAAGCACTTTATCTACTGAGCCATCTCTCCCAGCCCTACTACCTGTGTTTTTCAGGCAGATACTAAGTGTGGTATCATTGTGTTATTTATTGGGTAGATTAACAATTGCATCTTCCTACAAACATGAATTAGGTCCATCAGAACCTTCTCAACTCAATTAGAATAAAAACAAAACAAAACACAGTAATAAGACTTCTGGTTACGGAATTGTGCTAAATCCAAAGAAAATTATATGTTATACTGAAAATCTGAAAAGTAACTTCCAAACGTAACATTTATTCTAATGCCCTAAAAATTTTCACTGTATGTATCAACTGAGAAACAACACAAACTCACCACTAAGTATAACCAACTCGGTTCCAATGGGAAACCCCAATCAGCTCACCAAACCTTAGAAGTACAAGCAAAGTTGGAGACCTAGGTCCCAGTTCCCCTTTGTAGGAAACAGATACCACCTATGGCAATTAGGATTTTAAGTAACAACACATTAATCCAGGGCTTCAGAGACATCTAGAATATGACCATGTTAAAAATGAGTCAAATTAAACATGCTAAGGAAATACAGGGTTGCAAATGAAAAACCACAAAGAAGTTTACTGAGGGACTCAAGTTTGAGGAACACAGATCTACTTCAATACTGTTCTAGTTTGCCCTCAATTATTGTGCCAAAACACTTCGACCAATACCAACTTGGGGGGAAAGGGTTTATTTTATCTTACATTTCCTGGTCACTGTTCATCATCAGAGAGCCCAAGGTAGGAACCTAGATGCAGGAGCTGAAGCAAAGGTCATGGAGGAATGCTGCTTACTGGCTTGCTACTCTGCCCCATGTTCAGCCTGCTTTCTTATATAATACAGGACCACCTGCTCAAGGGTGGCACCACGCACAGTAGGTTGGGCCCTCCTATATCACTCAATAATCAAGAAAATGCCCCACAGACAGAGCCACAGGCCAGTTAAATGGAAGCAATTCCTTAATCGAGGCTCCCTCTACCCAGGTGTGTCAAATTGACAACTAAACCAAGGTTAAGAACTGAAACAAGCACCTATTTATAAACAGGTAATCAATGTGTTACTTATAGAAATTTTCTGCACCAGGCATGGCAGTAGATAATCCTAGCACTTGAGATGCCCTGGGAGGTGGAGGTAAGAGGATTGCTGAGTTAGAAGCTAGTATTGGTTACATAGTGACACTTTGTCTTAAAAAGCCTTAAATATAATCAGACTTTTCTTGGCATTCCTTAGGGATAATGCTGGGTTTCCCTGATTTAGATTATCTATACTTAAGTTTGAAGTTTCAAGCTCCTAGAAAAAATAAATTGGCAGTGAGTGGTACACTACTCTGAGAAAATGGGTTTAAGGAAGTGGACCAGATGAGTGCTGACCACCTAGGGAGGCAGGCCACAATTGCTGTTATAGTTGGCTCTAGGGGTCCTGTGCTTCCTCTGGTCAAGCAGAAGACAAAGGTAAGGTTTCCTGTCACTTTAATTTGGCTTCCACATTTTATGCAAAAAAAGGAGCACCCACAGCCTGAACATCTCCTATTTAAATATTTGGTGCTTTGAAAAAGCAGGTTGTCATTTTTTTCCCCCAAGTCTAAAATTATTCCGAAATTGAAGTTTTTTAAATGAGACACTTTCTCAAAAAACAACGAATCTTTTCAAATTCTTTTCCTATAAACAGGTAATTCAAGGAAAGAGACTAGAATTCATGCTCACTGAAAGTGGATTTATTTCCAAAGCAAATATTTTTCAAAGCTTTCCAGGAGACAAGCTTTTTTCACACTGTGTTTTTTTTTTTTTTTTTCTAAACAGCAGCTTGGTAGAATTTGGTCTTCTCCTTACCTTTCACTTAGGAGAAATTTATTTTGCCAAACTGGACTTAAAAGCCTGCCACTGACTTACCTGAATCAGTATGGGACTCACCTTCCTCTTAATTCAGGTGTTCCCTAGCTAGGCTACACATAAATATTTCTAAATTTATGAGTTCTTTAAAAAAGAACAACAAAACAACAACAACAACAAAAATCCTGTGCTGACTCTGGACCCAAGGAAGACACCCACTGTGGCAATAATGGCAAAGTGCTTGCATAGAGGAGGGTGACCAGTAAAGACAGATGTTAGGACAATGCAGCAGCTGGGCTTCTTGTTTCTCAAAAAAGGAGCTATATGCCCAGCGTGGTGGTGCACACCTGTAGTCCCAGCACTTGGGAGACAGAGGCAGGTGGATCTCTGTGAGTTACAGGCCAGCCTGGTCTACATAGTGAGTTCCAGGCCAGCTGGGGCTACGGGGAGATCCTATCTCAAAATAAGTAAATAAATAAATAAAATGTAAAAATAAATGTAAAAATAAATAAATAAATAAATAAATAAATAAGGGAGCTACAAAAACACAAAGGTGAACCCTGTGGAGGCCTATCTAAATTGTACTCAACGTTTTCAATACTCAGAACACACACAAGAAATTGTCTATGTATATATTCCTTCATGTACACACACACACACACACACACACACACACACACACACACACAGTTATTCCCTAGCTGTGTCACTATGAGGGCTACAAAATAACAATAATAAACAGAAATAGGCCTAGTTCGCATACAGACTATGTTTTTTAAATACCATTCTTCAATAAAAGAACAAGAGTTAAATAACTCTAATAGAGCTAATTCTAGGTCTAGAGCAAGGAAAGTCTAAGATGAAAACAGACTGTATGTTTTCAACAAGGCAAGAAAGTACTTAAAGACCAAAGTCACAGAAGACAGTCTTCATGAATGGGACTCTACTATATTGGACAAGAGGAGATCAAAATAAATGATAGAAGAGGTTATAAACCATGATATAAATCAGTAAAATATAAGTTCATAAAAGGAAATTTAAAATGAATACCCTGTGAGGGGAAATGGAGCATTCAGAGAGTTTGGAAATACCTCCCTATTAAATACTTTTAAGAATATTTTATTATTTTTATTTTATGTGTATGAGTGTATTGTCTGTATGTATTTTAGTGCACCCATGTCCTGCAATGCCCCCGGAGGTCAGAAGAGGGCGTTGGATCCCCTGGAACTGAAGTTATAGACTGTTACCCACCATGTGGGTCATCTGCAAGAGCAATCAGTGCTCTTAATTGTTGAACCATCTCTCTAGCCCCCACACCCCATAAAATACTTTTTAAATGGAAAAGAGTAATTAGGAGAAGGCTGGGAGATACCACCTTAAGTAATCTGTAAGAACATCACCTGTTTATTATCATGGCAACCTGTCAGACAACTGTATGTTGAGAAATAGAGGCATACTACAAAATAAATGGCTCACAATTTTCACGGCCATCAAAAAAAAAAAAAAAAAAAAATCAAGGAAACCTTGAAGAACTGCTCTGAATAGAAGGAAACTAAAGAGGTAAGTCCAAATATACTGAGTGGTCCTTTTGCTGTAGAGGTTCAAAAAGTTGGGGTTAGAAAGAGATAACAAAGGCTGGGCATTGTGGCACATGCCTTTAATCCCAGCACTTGGGAGGCAGAGGCAGTTGGATCTCTTGTGAGCTCAAGGCCAGCCTGGTCTACAAAGTGAGTTCCAGGTCAGCAGGGGCTTCGGGGAGATCCTGCCTCCAAAAAAAAAAAAAAAAAGAAAAAAAGAAAGAGATAATTGGGGCGGGGGGATTCTTTAACAGGGGTTGACAAGTCAGTGGAAGTATTGACTTTGTGGTTTGCTTGTTTTAAGAGTTGTTTTTTTTTTCAATCTTTTATTTTTTATGTGTATGAGGGCACTTGTGTTGTACAGTGCCCTCAGAGGACAGAAGAGGGAGTTGGAGCCTTTAGAACTGGAGTTACAGATAGATGTTAGCTGCCATGTGGGTTCTGGGATTTGAACCTGGGTCTTCTGCAGGAATAACCAGTGCTCTTCACTGAACCATCTCTCCAACTCCATAGTGAAGGGTCTTCACTATGCTGCCCCAGCTGGCATGGAACTACTATGTAGACCAGGCTGGCCTCAAACTCACAGAGATCTGCCTGCCTCTGCCTTCCAACCGCTGGGATTAAAGGCATGTACCACCACTCCCATTTTGTTTTGTTTTTTAAAGTTACCTCACTCCTAAGTGTCCAAAAACATAGCTAGAATTGAGAACTGTTGATACAAATGTATTCATTCAAATCTATACTTTAAAACACCTAGAGCTTAAAAACCAAACCTCCCACACCATAACTGAATGCAAATGCTAGGTGAGGAGGGGTTCCCACTCAACCATCTACGTTTGAAGGGCAGGTGGATTAGTCTTGTACCTCATCATCCCTTCTAAA